AATGGAGGTAAATTGCTCTGAGATTTGGCACACAAGGACTTCATTCTATGTGGGATCCTTTGGCAAAGTTTTAATAATCATAGCCTTATATTGATAGAGTTATGGCTGTTTCAAAATATGCTCCAGATGTCGTCAATTTCACTGAAAACAAACTTGCAATGTTCAAGGAAAACTGTTCATAACATGTATGCATTCTTCCCCATGGGTATGGCTCAAATTTTTGCAGTCATTGCTTATTGGAGTTCTGCAATTGCGGTAGGGTTATTTTCATACACATATGCATTAACCTTTAAATAACCCCGTATATGGAAGTCAGAGGCATTGAGATCAAGACTGTGGGATGACCATGGGTCCTCCATCCTAGGAGAGGTAATCTTCTCATAGAAATGACTAGTGAGCCAGGCTATGCTATCATTAGAAGTGTGAGGAGTAGCTCCATCCTTCTAGAACCACTGTTCTTGTCTATTGAAGCCTCTGTGTCACTCTAAAACTGCCTGGGAACGCCAATATTGCGCTGTGTGTTAACAGTAACAGTGTTGCCATTATCAACCTCAAACCAAAAGGGGCTGATGATTTCATGTTTGGAAATTGGCAGCCCAAGCTGTGCATTTAACAGCATGTAGGGGCCTGTGAAGCACTTTATCTGGAATTTGTGATCCCAGAACATATTATTCCTTGAGTCTACATGTTCAGAAAGAAGGGAATGTCACTCATCCGAAAACCTAACATTGGAAATGGACGACATTTGGAGCATATTTTGGAACGACCATAACTCTATCAATATAAGACAATGATTATTGAAACTTTGCCAGAGGATCCCACATTGAATGAAGTCCTTGTGTGCCAAATTTCAGAGCAATTAACCTCCATTTAAGAAAAATATTCGTGAAATGGAGGGTTGCATTTTTTTGGGTCACCCTGTATAGTGAAATTTACTTGAGCAAAATAGAACCTCGAAGCGCTCTCCTAAGTGATTTTTAAATTACCTCCTCTGCACAAAGGTTCCATAACATTGTTGAAAACCTGAGAGTGTCAGCTTTAAGAATCTAACCTCCATTTGAATTTTCGCTAAATGCAAAATTAGATATTAACCCTTTCATCACCAAGGGGTAAAATTAAGAAATCAATCATGCTTTTTCAATCAAAATATATTTTGACAATCGGTTTCTATTTTCAATCTAAATGTCAATAACAATAAAGGGTGTGGTCTCGGTAACACGACAGTATATAATTATGATGTTTACACTTTATGGTTAGGATAACAATTTAACTTAGAAATTACCACCCAAATATCCATGAAAACGATGCCAAGTTTCTTTTTTACATCATAATTGAAAATCAACCTTTGATAAGCTTTGATAAGCATTATTACGCTTTGATGCGATTATAACGCTTTAAATCAGGCTCTGATGATACGATCGACAGGCTCTGTTGTCCATTGTTACGCCCTGTTAAGCTCTGTCGCGCATTGGAAAATGTCGAGATCGCCGATTTCATGCCGCTTTTGATCCAATGACTATAAAAAGATGCAGTAGATCCATAAAACCATTGCATCTTTGACTCGAGAACACGATGGCAGAACAAAAGATCTAGAAATTCCAGATGGACCAGAGCATGACCTATCTGAAGAAGACATTATGTTTGTCGCACGGCGTGAAAGAGCGTGAGAGAGCATGAGGAAACTTGTCAAGCGTAACAAAGCCTAACAAAGCGTTTCAATCCTTGATTAAAGCGTCTCAATTCGTTGGAAAGCTTGTGAGTCCTTCATGAAAGCGTAACAAAGCGTTTGACCTCGTGTCAGATCTTCATGCCAGATCGTAGCAAATCTTGATATATCTTAACGAAGTGTGTCAAGTGGTAACAGACCGTGAAGAGACTTGGGTCCCCGCTTTGAACCAAGCTCTGTTAAGCTTTCCAACGCTTTGGGTCAAGCTTTACTGAGCTTTGTTAGTTACAGTTTGTTAAGCTTTGATACGCCCCTGATACGCTCTCGGCGCTTTAATCAATTCGTAACAGAGCGCCAAAAATTTTTAAACAGTTTAACATTTTTTGGCGTTCTTGCCGAATATCCCGCTTTACTCCTAGCTTTTCTACGACCTATTACGACCCCGTCGCTTTAATCAAGCTTTGTTACGCTTTGGTGCCGCTTTACAAGCCGCTTTAAAGCGCCATCACAGCCATAAAAGCTCTAAAAATTACTGGAAAACGCTGACCATGTTTAATGCTAATGCCGGTGTAAAAGGGTAAGAGGTCCTATCAAATTATGGTCCTATTTTCCATTGATTTATATGGTGACCTAAATACAACTCTTTCCCTTATTATCGTATCCACAATCAGGGCCAGTAAGGGCCTTTAAGAAAGAGGACCAGACCATAACCCCAAGGGTTAGTTTTTAATACATCTAAAAAATTTTAAAAAAAGTGATTTAAGTAGAAAAGAACCTATATCTTTGAAGAAAAACTTGTAGAATTCTACACACAACCCGTCAGAGCCAGGAGATTTTTCATTTTTCGAGTCTTTTAAAGCTAATTTCAATCCATATTCAGTCAGTTTACCTTCACACGATTCTTATTCTTGGTTACTCAGTGTTTTTAGTTATTGGTCGTGATTATGAAAAAAGACCTTTGAATACTCATCTAAACAATCTTTTTTACTTGAATACAAATCTTGGTAATATTGAAGTTGTGCATCGAGGATTTCTTTTGGGTCAGTTAGCAGTTTTCCATCAATTTCAATTTTATTAATAATCTTATTAACGTAATTTTTCTTTTCCAGACCACTAAAATATTTAGTTGCCCTTTCTCCATTTTCATACCAGTTCAATTTCGCTCGTGTTAATATTCCGTTTACGTAGTATTCTCGGTGTTTCTTCAAATCAGATTTATAATTTTCCAGCGTTTCATATCTCTTATGTAATTCCTTGGTCTCCGCTTAATTGCTATTTAAAATATTTTCAATTTCTCGCTCCGTTACATTGATCTTATATTCGAGTTCCTTTGAGTTTTATCCCTCAGTTTCTTTTTCCTTGATGAGTATTTAATGGTCTCCCCCTTATTTCAAGTTTTAACATTTCAAATAATAGTTGATCATTTATGGCAAGTGCTAGTTGCTGATCCTCATTCAAATTACCCGCATTGTTTTTGATTGTATATTGATCAACTGTATTTTGAATTTTGGTTTTAACAATATCGATGTATTCCTGGTCCTTAAGTAATGATACATTAAATTTCCAAAATCCTCGACCTCTTTCGGGCATTTCAGTTTCAAGAGATATGGTAATGACATCGTGATCTGACCTATAGCCGGGTAAAATTTTACAATTATGAGTTAGGTTTATATACCCTTTGCAGTTTAACTAGACTCTGCACGCAGGGTAGGTTTATAATGTCTGATATATAAAACAAAGTCGAGCCATTTGGCGCGGATTTCGCCTAAGCCATGTAAATTTTTTAGTTGTTCACATATTTCGATTACTTTCTTTCTAGAGTTAGGATTATTTATGTGTTTATGGTTAAGACAATCTAATTCTTTGTTCATTATCATATTCCAATCGCCCATAATAATTATTGAAGCATTGTCAAAATGTTCGATTTTATTTTTTAGGTCGACATAAAAAGTCGGAGTATCATTATTGGGGCCGTATTTACTTGCCAAAGTCATTCTTTGATTTTCAATTTGGAGATCAAGAATAACAAAGTTGCCATTTTTATCGATATCACTCTCATGAACCTTGAAGTCTACTTGTTCGCCCAAGAAAATGCCCACGCCCACGAAATGGCATTAATTTTATTATGATAATGTTACTTGCAAGTTTATATGGCCTATAAACACAAGAGTTATAAGCGATCTGAGTCAACATCACAATGGAGGAATTAATCTACAAGGAAGTTTATGTTCGTCAGCTGCTGTTTTTGTTTTCCTCATCTCCACAATTGAATTATATGAATCAGTTCCCCCAGATTCGTAATTTAATATTAATTAAATTTTTTCTAAAAAAGGGATTATATCAAAGTAATTGAGAATAAAAAATATGAGACCCTCTCCTCATTCTATCATTATGAGGTCCTTCGGGGGGGGGGTCCTATGGGTTTTATAGGTATTCTGTAATGATTTACTTATTCTTTATTAGGAGGCCCCCATTTTATAGATATTATCATTAATATATTCGCAGACTGACAAAATTACTAACTCAAAGGTGACGCTCCAATGTCTATCAAACACAGTAGGGCGTGGCGGGAGCTCATGGAAGTTAAAATTACAGAGTGGAACGTCATTATTGGACCCCATATTCGATTTAACAGAATTAATTATCATAATGTTTTTGCATGATATGTCCATAAATTTGGCCTACATGACATCAGATTTATGGAATCTGGTCAGGGTTTGTGATTATGCACTTTAATGCTATGTGTTAATAAACTTATGGCAAACGAAAATAAATTAATCATGTTTAATAATGTAATGCAGCCAGCAAGCAGCGAACGCAAAGAAACAAAGGATCATACAACGGTTATATGACTTTATATAGTCCTCTATGAAAGTTCCCATGGCTGGTGGCATTCGGTAGTCAAAAAGATGATTAAAAGGAAACTCAAGTGGAATTGAGCACCGCCACCCATGGTGTTGTCTCATTAATATTGCTCCGTAGAATACGAATACAATTGTAGTATTGAAATATGTCTTCGTTTCATACTTCAGAAAGGTATATACTGTCTTCTTTTCTCTGAGAAACTATCCTCGTCTTCGAAGCAAGGGAATTGATTTTTAAATATCCAAATAATTACTGTATGCATTTCTGAGTTGTAATCATCTTACGAAACCGGAATTTACGCACTACGTACGTGCCAAGTATTTAGAATTAAAGGACGAAAGTGATAAAATCGAGAAAAGAAAAAAGATTATTTGTATTTTTTCTACCGGAAGACCGGCCATGTTGAAACGAAGACAAACTGTCTTCGCTTTCAGTTGACATCCCAGTGAATATAATAACTAGGGTGCTCATGCAAAAGTTTACTCATTTATACTTCTTGAACGGACGGATACAAATCAAAAGCCAAATGGCACAATTTTTGTTCATTGTAATATGTTTAACTGGTGCTGTGATTGGAGAAGACCAAGATAATGGAAGGTAATTGAGTTTCTATTTAACATATTTTTCAAATATGAAATGACAGAGAACAACGTTTAAAATTTTAAGTTTTGTAAATGCTACGGAAAGGGTTTTCTTGGATATAACCTAGTTCAGTTACCATCTACAAAATAGTACGGTGTATATGTCAGCACAAGTGTCAAATGGGAATGAACAACGATGTCTTGTTGAACTCTACAAATCAGGTGACAAGTGTGACAGTGTTCATTTCACCAACTATAAATAAAATCAGGTGCCAGGTTTCATAAATCATTCCAAATCCCACAACGTTAATATGCTGTATTATAAGTTATTTAGTCCTGTAAAATACTACCTATTATCAAAATATATATTTTGATTTTTAGAGCGAAACGCGAGATTTACAGTAATCTAAATGATTCGGCGCTAGAGGCACCATTGATCATGACACGTAAGTTACTAATGAAGGCGTCTAAAAATAGTAGACAATGTTTACCTTAAATCAAATTTGCACTCAAAATGATCGTTAGTTCAGCTATTTCTTAATCCAAAATGCAAATCCTACTTACTCAAGAGGTTATAAATGTTGAGAAGAAACCATATTTCATTGGTTCCATTCGAACAACAATCATTTTCGAAAGTAGCAGTTATAGTTGATTGGACTCCCTCTTATCCGTATTAAAGGATTGGTATCGATATGGTGGAATGGATTGAACACATGTTTTTCTCAATCTAGTCATCAAACATTCTGAAAATTTTACACATCGTTAATTTAATGATCATACTTTGAATGGTTACACTTTAATTCAAAAAAGTATATATTCTTTCTGTATATTGTTTCAGAAAACACTGTAGACATTTCTTTTGTTCCTGGTATCATATGTTCGGAATGAAATGAAACATCTATCTGAACTTCATTGGAACAAAATGACATATACACAACGTGTTTAGGTCTCTCAATATTGTATTTGTACAACGGAAAGTTTGGCTCATTTAAAAGAAAGTATCTTGTTGATTAATGAAATAAAAGGTTTACTTTCATTTTTATCTACTCTAGGATTTTAATTTTTGAATACCTTTTGTTAAATGAACCAAACTTCCCCTTGTATAACTGCAATATTGAGAGTGAGAGGTCTAAGAAAATGTTGTATATGCGATTTTGTTCCAACAAGGTTCGGAAAGGAACAATAAACAAGTGCACTAAAAAACAAAAAACGTTAACAAACAGTTCAAAATAATAGATATAACAGTTGGAAATATATATACTAGTAAATAATTTTGCATTAAATTGTTGTCAATCATTGACCATTACATGAAGGACAGTGTTTCTTTACAGAATGTTTTCAATAAATGATTGAAGAGCATGTTTGTTAAACATCAAAACATCAAACATGTATGTTGAATTTAGTTCACCATTTCGATACCAATCCTTTGTTTTCGTGTCTTTGGATAAGATAGAGAGGCTTAACTTCATCACAGTACTCCTACAAATGCAACTAGAAACGTTCATGCATGTTGTGATACGACTGTACATGTTTTAGGTAAGACTTGTTCAGTATGGCAGGCAGAGGGAGTGGAATCCGATCATTTATTGGTCAATCCCAATGGAGACGGAGTGCCTTTAGGGGTTTTCTGCAACATGTCCACCACCCCCGCTACAATGGTACTAGAGCACGACCATATGGACAGAAAAACCATACGTGGACCCCGATGTAATTCAGTCGCTTGCGTCCGATCTGGAACAATTATGTATTTCTCTGCGTCGTTAGATCGATTGATTGAATTAATAGGGGCGTCCAGATCTTGCCAGCAGTATGTCAGGTAGACAAGTATATAATTATATATGGACAAATGAAGATACACATAGATGCTTTCAGACCACATTGGACCAATTTTCTATACGGTCTCTTGGAAAAAGCCGATCATTGATGATGGTCTATTTAACATGATTTGTTATAGGTACGAATGTTATAACAGTGGAATGGACTTTACTCGCTGGATGACCCATGACGACAGGCTCATGTCACATTGGGGCGGCTCCTTTCGGGCTACTGTGACGAAACTTAAGAATTATACTATGAGGCAAACTATTACTCCCGAAACCCCGAACGAGGCAACCAATATTACTACCGAGGCCCCGACTGATTTAACCACATGTGGATGTTTCCTAAGACGGAACTGCGTAAATGGTAAGCACAAAGGTCAAACAGTTTTGGATTCCAATTATGAATCACGAAGTAAGACTGATGGAAAATGCATATTATGTAAAGATAATGTAGACGACTCTATCCAACACAGATTTGTAGAATGTTCTTTCTTTGTAAATAAATAACTTCTATTTTCATTTGTCTGGTAACTTCTATTGTAAGACAAATGCAATGAGAATGTGTTTAATTATTTTATATCCCGTACCTCTAACTTTATTTTATGTTAGGTGATGATGTTCTTACTCAATGGGGCACGATCAATTTTATTTAGTAGTAGAAGTAGATGGACTGGTAAAACAATTTTTAACAAAGATTTTTAAACCTGACTTACCTGACTATTTTATATATTTAGAACATGTATGTAGACGCACCTAAATATTTTTAGTGTTCCACTGATAGCTAGTATGTTTGAATAATAAATAAATAAATAAATTTACGACTTAAATATTTAAAAAAATCATGCACGTTTTCCGTCTTGGAAAGCCTATGCTTTTGACTGGAATCGTACCAAAACATCCATAAATCGTTTCTGAAACTGGATATATTTGTTCTTATTTGAGTCACTACTGGGTTGCTTTTAGACACATTATCAAAGATCACTGGTGATCCGCTCGATTACGCTGGTTACCGAAACGGTTCGTTTTGGTAACAAAATGTCGGATCGTCGAAGGAACGATTTTTCTTTTTTCCTTATTTCACGCGTTATAGGCAGAATCCCAACGACGTTTTTCCTCACAAACGTATATCTGCATCATATGTTTTAGAAAATGTACATGTTTGCGAAAAAATAGCTCAGAAGACAACAGAATCGTCGATTTAATTCCTCACTTAAGTTACATAAACGGTTTGGGTTAAAAGTGCAGATCTTAACTGTTTTTCGAAAAACCGTTTATGAAACTTAAGTTAGGAATTAAATCGACGATTCTGTTGTCTTCTGAATTATTTGTTCGCAAATATGTACATTTTCTTAAACATATGATACCGATACACGTTTGTATTAAAAATGTCGTGGGAATTCTGCCTACAACGTGTGAAATAAGGAAGAAAAATCGAACCTTCGATGTTCCGACATTTTGTTACCAAAACGAACCGTTTCGGTAACCAGCGTAATCGAGTATATCACCAGTGAAAGATGTGCCCTATTAAACACTTTCTAGGAAAAACGTTGTGAATGCTAATGAGTTGACCTGCTTATTCAGTGAAACTACCATTCTGATACTCATAGCATCTTCCTGTTTCACCTGAAATATGCTCTGATATTATGATACATCAGATGGGGAGAATTATGTCTGTCAATAAGGGTGATAGTTACCATGTAATCATTTACCTTAATGTCAATACATAAATAATTGGCATTGTGTTTAACAGCAGATATTAGAACAGGCACAGGTACACAAGTTTTATGACCCCAATTAGATGAAATATGAGCTGGGATGAAAGATCTCAAAAATCCTCAATTTTTGGCTCTCCTGGATCTCCAAATCAAGCTCATTATATCATGGCATTCATCGACGGAAAATGTGATTTCTTTAAATTTCGTGCAATGATGCAATATAAGTATACAACTTAGTGTTTTTTCATTTAATATTTTGAAAAAACTAAACCCAGTACCCCAGTAAGAAACTGGATATTATATCTCTGGAGAATGAAAACTGGGAAAATTTGGAGTTATAAGAATAAATTCAAGTAGTATGTCTAATCATGTCTTATATACACGTTACTCCCCCCCTCCATCCACTCCCCCCTCCATCCAATATTAATTTATTTCGATTATTTTTTGTATAACGCATGGATACTAACTTTAAAAAGTGAGCAATGTCATGCGTTGTGATAATAACGTCCCTTATACTTTTTATGACAGGTCCAGCTGTAGACCATTGTTGCCTGATTTATAGCAAAAACATTGACTTTTGCACGTTGGTGATGATGCGCCTTTTTTAATAGATCTCATATCTTAGAAGCGCGTATCAGTTCAAAAAATACTAGAAGACCTAACATATTGTCCCATGCATTGCGCCTATTCATTTGGCAATGCAGTTGTAAATTTTCTCTTGAAAAAATAAATCTTCTAAATTTGTTGAGTTTTCTTGCAGAAATCGCCTACTCCCCCCTCTATCCATTTTGTACGATCACCGGGAGTGATTCTACATACATGTATATATCAACACAGGAAAATTCAAGATGATTCCACTATAAGTGTTATCTTATTTACATTTTTGGACATACTGTATTTCGTTTGAAGGTAAACTTTGCAATTGTAACAATTTCGACAACAGATGGTACGTAGACGATGGTTACTTGTTTTCGGAGACGACCCCAGCTGTAGCCATTGATCTTCCTATTAAAGAGGTCAGCTTTGGGAGTTTCCCGTGGTCTGATTCGATTGGACACTATACAATCGGCCCTCTAACATGTATGGACAAAGGTAGGACAGAAATTGGTAACCATTTCCGAGTGATTTTATTTTTCTACTTTGGTTTCCTGAATTAATTGTCCTTCAATGTGAAGTTTTCACAACAATTTACTGATGAAATCGAACGCTCGAACAATAAGGACTCTTAATTTTAGAACAATAAGTTCAGAACTTATGGCACAACCCTCGTAAAAGTGAACTTTTTATACACACAGACAGAAAATAACTTGCTCTCAATTTAGTTCGTGGATGTCCGATTGCGCCCTCTTTTGATAACTCAGTGAACGACGCTGATATGTTAGGCCACATGGCTGGAGACGATGTCAATTACACATGCAGCAATGGATTCATCAGCTCAGGGTCTCTTTCTCTGAAGTGTGGCGATGGTGGCGCTTGGGAGAAAAAAACGATTATATGCGAAAGTAAGGCACTGTTTTGTCACTTTTGCAGATCCAAAACAGCCCAAAGCAGCATGCTCATTGGTCTTCACCAATAAAGACTATGATCTATATCATACGTCCACCACATTTGTTTAACCTGATTAATACAATCACATTCTTTGTATTTTTTCGTGAGCCCAAAAACGCATCAACGTATCTAGTCAATCAACCTAGAGACGAAAAAGCGAAACTTTAGGTTTGAAAAGTAAAAATTTTAAAGTTTGTTTATATTTTGTCATAAAGGGATTAACTGTGGCGACCCAGGTAATTCTACAACCACAAACCGAGCGTTAGATGGTACGTTGTATGGCGACACGGTAAATTATACGTGTAAACAAGGGTATTTTGAACGTAGTCTTTGCAAATCGACGCCCATGGATAACATGAAATAAGCGAAAAACTGTCGAGTTTGAAATTCAAAACTTCATAAAATTTAGTAATTTGTTTCTTTTCCTCGTTAGGGCATGCTCTACATTGCGCAACAACCTTGGTGTATATAAATGTAACCTACATACGATCATACAAAGTCAACTAAGCATTGTAAACCACTTAATATGTTCTACTCAAGCCATAATAATGTATTTTGAATTTGCGGATACGCCAAAAATTGATAGACAGTTACGCGAACCTCGTTCATATATGTAAAACCGAATCATTTCATATCGCTTGTGATCCAAAATTGAAATGTTTTTCAACCGGATTTGAGTTTTGTAAGCTATAATAGATGAAATCGTATTATTACCACCTTGCAGGGCCTGTTCTAGGGGTTTTAGTACTAGTTGAGAAGGCATTTAAATTGCTATATTGACGTGAGCAATATTGTGTCGGGCGTTAATGACTTTAGTCGGGCAATAATGATATTATCCACCCGGCTATGTTTCCCGGGAAAAGTGATATCGTTCAGTGCGTAAGATTTTCTATTTCAAATTTGCTATTTCAGCCCTGGGCATTAACGGTGGTAATAATGGTAATAACGTCATTTCTGCGGGCAAAATAGTGAAATATTGGACCTTGGGCCTGCGGCCCTTGGTCCAATATTTCACTATATTGCCCGCAGAAATGACGTTATTGTACTATTATGAAGATGGTGACATAAACAGCTAAATATGATTTGTAATAATGGTAATATATGTCTAATGTCACTCATGACATCATCAATTAATTTGGAGTTGTTTTCTTCCGTCGCCTGTTCGTTGTTACTAATTTCTTCCTTTGCCTCTTCATTACAATCATTTTCACTTTCATTGGCTTTCGCTATTTTTTCCTTGCCCTATAGAGGCTCAAGCAAGAGCGTCTCTTGCGAGTCCTGAAAACAAATACAGGCAGTTCACACATAGAGAGCTATCCATCTAGGGACCTTGACTTGACAGGAACTTGCATGTAACCGTCCGCTAACATCTAATGTAAAACTAATACAATGCGTTGCTGTCCATAAAAAAAGCATGCAATACATACGTATCTGTCTAACGACCTTGCGATTGAAACCTTATTATCTACAATATTTACCACATTTCTGTTCTGCATTTGTCATTTTATGGCTTGTTTATACACAGTTTACGTACAGTTAGTATTTTGAGTGGCTCTGAGGCACATATACTGAGAAAACACGAAAAATGACTAAAAATTATGAACTTCGAAATCTCAGCTGGGTAGGTTTACAGCTTATATTCTGCTTCTTGTAGACCACACGACAGATTTAACTCAATCTTTATAACCATTCACATATGCATCACCGAATGGAACTAGTTGAAAAGGAAAGCTTATCTGTGAATCTTGCCTACAGGCGAAAAAGAGGACATGCTGTCTTTCCCGTCCGCCATTTTTTGTTATCGTTACCGCAAAATTTGGCCAATTGCCTTGTCGTATCTGTCATGCTATAACACCGTGATATTTCTGGAGTACATTCTGGTCACATTTGAAAACCTTTCTCTGGGACTTTAACCTGATCTCCTACTGTTTACGTTTTGTATTAAAGCTGGGATGATTGCTTTCTCCGCCACATCATCCAGCGGTTACCTTTATTCCTCCTCGAGCTCCAACCCAGTGCCTTTCGACCTTGCCTCTGTGAATCTAGGAGATGCATATTCTACGTCAAGAGGTAACATACAATCACATATTTGGTGATTAAGATTTGACGTGCGGAATGAAATTTTCCATTTTCTGCATCAAAAATGAATAACAAAATTCAAATTAATTTTTGGGATTCTTTACGTAACTTGCTGTTCATGCTTTGGGCGTCAAGATGTCTTTTAGTTGGCTTAACCTGTAGAATCTCTTTTAAAATTGTACATTTTACTAAGCATCATAACGTTTGACTGAAACTACAATCTATATACTCTTCTCTATTAGGCGAGTAGGAAATCCCCAAAAAGACCTTATTTAGAGGAGTTTAAAGTTTATATGGTCTATAGTCACCAAAATGAAAATAGTCAGAAATGTTATCATACCATGCAACGATGAAAAATCAAAATCTAAACACTTTTGCATTTTTTGTAGGTGTCTTCACAGCACCATTTGAAGGTTTGTACCATGTTGATGTCCATCTGGCTACATACAGGTCGGGCAGCATGTATGCGTACATCGTTGTCAATGGAAGAAGTGTCAGAACAATATATGTCGAGCAATACTCTGGCTATCGTAACGTGAGTTTTACTGAAAGGATTGGTAGCGATTTGGTGAACTGAATTCAATATTATTTTTCTCTTAAACCAATTATTTAAAATATTCTGTAAAAAATACCATCCTCTATGTAATTGTAACTGATCGACAATGATTTGATTTGAAAATTATTCATGTATATTCTATATAATTGTTTTTGTGAACAATCTTTGATTTTTTGTGCAATTATTTTTTGTTTTTTTCTACCAATTCTTGAAAATGAAATGAAATATCTATCCGAACCTCATTGGAGCAAAATGGCACAGATTCAACATTTTCTTAGATCTCTCAATATCATAGTTACATACAAAGGAAAGTTTGGTTCATTTAAAAAAGTATCCCAAAAATAAAATAAAAAACCAAAATAGATAAAATTAAAGTAAACCTTTTATTCCATTAACAAGATACATATTCTAAATAAACCAAACTTTCCTTTGTGCAATTACAATATAGAGAGACCTAAAAACGTTGTGTATATTTATTTCCAACGAGGTTCAGACAGATGTTTCATTTCATTCCGAACAATATAGTAAAGGAAAAAGAACTGTCTGATATGTTTTCTAAAACTGTACATGTACTATTGAAAAGTAGTTTTACAAATGATGACTGGAAAAGAGAAACGTGTTCAATTTAGTTCACCATATCGCTACCAAGCCTTTGATGATGACTTCTAATTTGAATTTGTAATAGATTATTACATGCTTAGGTACCTTAGTATAATCACTATTCTAATTCTATGCAATTTATTATTTATTCATCAATTATATATTATTCTCGCGTAACCATTGTGTCACTGGCCATCCATAGGCAGAGACCAGTACAATGCAATACATGCAATTTTCCGAGTGAAACATAACTAACGGCCATTCATCAATCGAGAATTAGAGGACGACTAAAATTCGATTGGAATGGTCAAGTACCCCCTCCTCCTGCAGCCCATAAAGGAAATTATATAGCAGATGAAAATTACATAATTATACATAACGAATGGCCTATCAAAGATGGACTCATTTTCCTGATTTTGAATAATTGCAGTATTAACTGGACATAATGACTATGCACATGATATTTGGTGGGTTTTATATCTTAATTATAGGATGCAGGAATTTCGCAACAATTATATTACATTCAAAAATGGAAAATGATAATTCAGAAACAATTCAGCGTTAAAATTCAATTTGCTTCCATTTTCAAGCTGATTGTCTACATGCTGATGCACAATGAAACATGCATATGATTTCAGAGAGGCAGCACTAGTGTTCTACTTCAGTTGAGTAAGGGACACACTGTGAATATAGCACTTAGCTCATCCTATCACGTAACTCTTGGTCAAGAATCAACGTTCAGTGGCTTTCTTCTTCATCACGGCAATGGGAATTAGAGTGGCCAACAGACTCGAGCATGTATGTGCCAATCAGAAATGTCAAGAACTAGAAGAAAGAATAGGACAATAAAATATATTTAAAGATTGTAGATGCAGAATGCCTAACTGTCAAACTCGGGCTGTAGTTTACTGGTTAACAACCCCCGTCTCATTTCCATCAACTGGTATCAAATAAGTCTCGCCAACAATGATGAAAGTAAACGTTTCTATGCAACATATTCTTTTCTAAAAGACGAGTATTAAAACATAAAATGCATCGGAACCTAAATTGTCATAACTAGGTCAACACTAAACCACCTGCTTTGCTATTCCCTATGATACTACTCTCTTAAGAATTATGGATTAGGGCCCCACCTTGGCACTTTTTGAAAAATGTGAGGCTTATTTTCTTGTTTTTCTCAACTTAAACAAATCGTAAGTCTCCTCTACACTATATTAACTATTTCTGAAAAGGGGATGGGTATTGAAATGCGTTAAACTAAAAAACCACATATCCCATGTTATTTTCCCATAGGGAAAACTCGTGCTATCCATTGTTTTCAGCATCATTTTGGTCATCGAAAATTGATATCTTCAAAACTAGACTTTCAATACCATTATATTTTTGAAGATGTTTTAGACCCCTTGTTGAATAATCTTTTCATGCAATAAAAATCAGAAAAAGGAGATCCTCTTTTGAGTAAATAGGTTCAATATTTTGAAAAAAATGTTGACATGGGGTCCCTATTCATAATTTTTCGAATTGTTCAATTGATATTTTTATCATTATGGGTACTTCACTTGAAAGAAAACATATTGTTTTAATAAAAACTACTGTATTTATGCCCAGAAAGTACTCATGGTGAAAGATATGACTGTCTAAAATCACTTGCCATACTGCACATGGTATTTTGTAAACAAAGTATATTGATAATCTATAAATCAAGGTGCCTGTACATTTTTAAGCAAATTGCTGATGAAATAATTGTGAAGGTATGACAAAAAAGCTGAATTCCTTTTTGAATCTGCAACATATTTTGCTGAAGCTTGTAGACTTTATTGATAACCTAGAAATCAAGGTAACTGTACAATTTTAAGCAAATTGATGGAATACTTGTGAAGTTATGATGTAAAAAAAAGCTAAAAGCCTGATTTTTCTGCAATAAGAGTGGCGGCCATTTTGAATCTTTGCGACATATTTTGCCGAAACTTGTAGACATTGTTGATAATCTTAGAAATAAACGTACCTGTATAATTTCAAGCAAATTAATGGAATACTTGTGGAGTTATGACCAAAGACAAGTTGAAAACTTATTGATTTTTCAGCAATAAAAGTGGCGGCCATTTTGAATCTTTACGACTTGTTTTGCCGAAACTATGCCTTATTGATAACCTATAAATTTAGGTACCTGTACAATTTCAAGCAAAATTGGTGGAAACTTGTGGAGTTATAACCAAAAGAAGTTGAAAACCTGATTTTTACGCCATAAAAATGGCCGCCATTTTGGAACAAGGCGAGCTTTTGAGACGCCACTTATGGAACAAATGACGACCTTAAAGTGAATACCATTCCAAAATTACTCAACAAAAACAGGTATCCAGAAATTTTAATCCATTTTGTTCCATTGACGTTTCGTCATATAACTAGTTCTTGAACAGTGCTAACTACATATGTGTGAAAATAGTATTATACACCTAGCTACATCTAGAGTTTCAAACAAAGTACCCTAACATTACTGGTGTTAGTCAAAAGTTAAAAGGTATCTTATTATATAAACTATACCGAAACCGCTCTCTAACAAATCAGGACCTTTTAGTTTGTTTTACTTTTACCAGTACTTGATTGCAAAATGTGCGATCTTCACTAAAACGAAACAAAACGTCAACGCATACATTTTATTATCAGTTCTTAAAATGTATAAATTTGAGATAAGTCATTTGGTAGCCAATCACAAAATAAAGTTAGTCATAAAAGTCGTCATGAAAGCATTCATAAAAGTGCGAAGGCAGTCATCAGATTATTGTTAACTTTAATGGATTTGATTTCTAAATAGTGGAAATACACAATTCTTGTTCTAGAATATAAGCTTTAGAGATCTTAACAACGTTCAATTAGCATGGGTTAAATATATCCAATGATAATAATTTTGTTTAAACTTTCATTATGTCTCGCAAATAAAAAATATGTGGAAAACGCTCAAAAAGACTTTCAAGGGCAAATCAAGTTCAAAATCGACCAGCACAAGAAAGAGGGGAAGACATCGGGAAAATGGTGAAGAAAGTGTTCAACCCCCTGATACTGTAAACGCAGGGACTCAAACTGAACCTTGTAATAAAGGTATGAAACTCTTAATATTTTTTCTTGTTCGGGTGTCATTTTTCATATTTTCTACTCTACTGTAATTTTAATCATTCAATTATGTTTTCAATATCAAGGGGTGGAAACACGTCAACGGTCTATTCGTGTCGAATAACCGGATGTACTTTAGTCAGCCGTCATTTTATTTGACACATTCTAAAATGGTAAGTGTGTTTTTTGCTCGTCTTGCACGTTTCAATTACAAGGGAAAAAAGTCCCCAAAACAGGTTCACAACAACCAAATATAATTAAAAAAATATATTTTTGAATATGTTCAACAATGGCAACTGTCGAAGAAATTTCCCGGGTGTATGCTACGAAAATATTCTAAAATGTGTTTCAACTTCCTGACTGTATCTTAAGTACCCTAGATCTGCGACTGTCTGGTGGTTGGAGTTTGAACATAAGTGGGGATTTTCGGACTGGACTAGGTGTATATATAGGAAGTAAAAGAAACAATCGTATACCTTAGAAATCATGCTTTTTGAATTATTGAAGAATCTCATAATTTAATTTTTTTTTTAAAATAGAGTTTTAAAATAAATTGTAATTCAGTGAGTAACTGGTGAACCTCTGAAGGAGTTTAAATATTTAAATTGACACTCTTACCTTTCAAAATCATTTGAACCTTATGACAGATTGGGTTATTAAGTTCTCATTATAGAGCGGCCTTTAAGGTCTCATAATAAAGTTCAAGTTCATTCCATTTGAAAAGAAAGTGAGGTAATACTATAACAAGGACCCACCTTCACGTTATACTGTACATTTTCAAACTCGTATTTATTATCACAAGTCATAGTGCAATGAAGGAACCTAGGGATAAAAATATGTGTCATTGTAAATCTTATAAACGATACATTTGGTGAAATAATTTCACGTTTATAAAGTCTATTGTCATTAAAGGCCTATACCCCTTAGTAATGTTCACGATATCCTAATTTATATGACTAAAATGTACGCAAAAATGTTATTTTCAAGAAACTGATTGGCCTATATATTTTGGTCAAATATAGAGGTATCTATAACTTTAGGTATCAGTTACAGAAAATGTCATAAGTATGGGTATACTCACATTGACAGCCTTTGTTTATTTGTGTCACCCTATTCACTCTCTAGATCGAAAGAAATACTTTTTAAAGAAGAATGGCAGAACAATCAATCTGATTTACGTATGGTTTTAACATATACCATATCAATAAAAAATATTATAACCCCATGTTATGACTTCCATATACCTCCAAAATTATTAAATATATTTACCCTCCGAGTCCATTTCAGATACATTAGGAGGGAGGAGTTCCTTACAGACTCTCAACACACAGAGTAGCGGTATCGGGGGCTCACAAGACCTACTTGCATCTCCATGTAAGTGCATGTATAAAAACACATTTAACCTGAGTAACATTTTCTGATTGGTCAAAAGTTATGGTAGCTATGGCAACTTGTGTTTTGATCATGGGGCAATACAGTATATCTCTGAAGTACTTGTGATCAACAAAATGGATAGGAAACTTATTGCAGGTGTCCGAATGCTAGCATTACTAAGCTCATTGCATTTTCGCAAAGTCATGTTTGATGTTTTTTCCTCGATCATGGTTCGAAGACTCAGTGTCTAAAGTACATGAATTGTGCATCAAATATCCAACACATCTAATATTTAATAATGTGATGAAATGTTAGGAAGCTTTCGTTCTCGTCATGAATTGCTCCGCATGACCAACGCAAGTTACCATAGCAACCACAACTACAATAACCAATCAGAGTAAAGTAACTCATTTTTTGTTTTTAAGGCATAAACATTTTCCACGTTACATGCAAGTTTCAACGAGAACATTGAACATTAAGAAAATTAGAACTAATATTGAACGATCTGGGATATTTACATTTTTCAAATCATTTTGTAGATGGAAGTAATCTCAGCTTCCACCACCACCACCACCACACGTATAACTACAGTACGTATGGACCTAATTCTAACTTCGGGACCCAGACTAGTGTTACAGAGAATACGTGCCATGTAGATAACATTCGTGGTTTTCAAGACGCTGATCGTCGGAATAACTCAGATCGTAGAACAAAAGAGGGTTACTATAGCAACGACGATGAAGGTGGCTTTTGTGTGCATGAAATGAATACATCTATATGCATGAGCTCCCCGAAAGTAACGCTCGGCCATCTCAACAATGATGCTAGTGGCACGAGAAGGCCTGATGAATCCAGTAACACGCGAGAGCCTGTGGAATCCAGTGATGGCGTGCATGGTGGTGATGGCTGTGAAGCGGAACGGGAAATCGAAAATACGTTGTATGGTTTAAATCCAAGTTTGAGAAAGCTGAGGACTACATCGTTACCACCCTCATTAGAAAAATATTCAAACCTGGAACAAGCTTCGAGTTTGAACGTAATCTGGGACCCACTGACCGGAAATCAACTGTATGGAATTGGTGCACGACCAAAGAACTCGTCTGCCAATCGACCAGTTGAAAACGATGAGAGATCCTTAGTCGTCCCAAGGCCCAAAGTAAACAAGCATTACTCTAACGTGTCCCTGACTGGAAGTCTAAAATCATAATATGAAGTATGGTAGTGTGCACGAGAACGTTTTGTAAATGTTGTGTTGTTTAATGGATGAGCAAATATTATGTGTTGTGTTTAGGTCCATTTGAGGTAAATATCATATTAAACACATTTTTTTCAACATAGACCTTATATCTTTTCAGAATGGATCAAATGAAGCCATCAACAGACGAAATGTGCTTCAAAGAAGTGAGGCCAGTTTGGCTAGTCCGGATAATACTTCAAATAAACGCTGGGAGGAGATGTTGCAGCGCCGACAGGAGCAGTCTCGAAAAAGGGCAGAATTCTTCAGCAATCATGATGTTTCTGGAGCAGCTTGCGATGGGAAGAAGGCTATAAGCTTGACAACATTAACCAGGTCAAGGATCCTTTACACGATTGGTGAAAAGTAAAGTACAGAGTTGAGGATGTCCCTGTTAATGTCTAAACATTGCGAAACACTGCCTAAACACTACTAGATGTGTGAGCAAGATATGCTCAGCCATTCGTTAACAGGTAAATGGATGAACAGACTGGAATAATCCTGGATCATCACTTTATATTTTTACCCTGCTTTATTATTTACTTCATTTTTTGCATGTTATTTATATGGAAATATTTATGTGAACATAATAATGCTAATAAAGGCAGGACTATCAGTCCTTATATTAAATATAAGTGTTGAGTCCGCTTCAATCATTTTACTTATTTCAGTCTTTCAAACGAAGCCAAAGCAGCGAGAAGGTAATTCCTTGATAATTGCTGTTCTTCTTTGAAAACCCATGTCTGGTCTTATTGTTAATCACGTGCTGTCGAATTTAATACTTATTTACTATCTTCAAATGAAAAATAGTGTATTTGTGTTTGAAATGATCGAAAATTAGGCGTTCCTTTGTTCTGAATGACACCGAGCTCATTTTGATATCTGGCTTCTATCATTGTCATCCTTTACTTGAATTCTTGACTTTCAATGAAGTGGCATCATCAGTGAAAGTTTTATCGAAAAAGTAAAAAAAGGTAGTTCCATGGGATAGTGCCCGACATTCAGACTTGGGCAATGAATCAAGTACTAAAGTCTCAGTTGTTCACCTATCCACATTGTTTAAAGCCCTGATACAAAGTTTAAGTTCAATTAAACCACTATTTGAAACTTTTTTTTAATTTCAAAAAGTGATTTTTGAAGGACTTTTTGTTCGAAAAATCGTGAACTTATTTAAAACTAACTTTTAGAGGTCACACGTATTTTCTAATAACCAATAATTCATACCAATGCATAGCATTCATCCTCTCGTCTTTTGCCGAAAAAAATAAGAAAATCGGTTCGTAAATAAGCGAGAAATGAACTCATCAATGCATGAAAATGGTTCAGAGAAAAATGCATTTCAAAATTTTAGTTCTCATAGAAACAAATGGTACAATAATATCTAAAACATAATATATTCTTCCTTTTAACCTGGTTATACAATCAACATTGGTTTATTTTTGAAGTTTCGCATATTTATATTTTTTCACCGGGGCGTATCGAAACCAAAACGCCCCGCAAAACCGTTAATTTGAATTTCAAATCTACCCTGTCTTTGGAAAATCAATGATTGTGAGTCTCACACTACACCGTTTTTCTTCGAACTTGTTCCATTAAAACCTTCACAGAAATACCTTTCACTCGAGACATTGCTTTTGTTTACAAAGTCCCTCGTTTTAGCGGCGTTTTGGTCCCCAGATGTGAGAAGTTGCAAATCCCCAGAGATTTCAACCACAATCCTTGATATCTCGCCAGTTCTTCTATCACTCTCCTCCATATTCTACGCAAGGACTCCCATCATAACAACAAATAACAAATACCCATTACATTTGTTTAAATGATAATTTCATATGAGAAAACGATATACACTATACATACCACTTGACACCGCTTTCTCTTACTTTCAATGCAATTCATGTATGATTTAAACGCAACAGCTGAATGCATACATTCATTTCATTTATTGAATTTTATTTATTTAAAACATTTTTGACAGCCAATCACAGAAGGTACCCAGACACTCCCTTTTCTTAACTTGGTATTCCCAACCGTCATATGACCTTTGGTAGCGAGCTGAGAAACACCTACGGCGGTCATATAACATTATTGTCTTTTATGGATTTTTATTGGATTTTACTGTTAGAAAGGCCTAATTCTTGCTTTGATGTGAACACTTAAGATATATTAATGTTCTGGCATGGGTCTATTCTATGTGAATAATTTGCTGCAATTTCGATTTGCCGAGTTGATAATTATTTTAGAAATATGCTGAAAAAGCTTAGAAAGGCTTTCAAAGGCAAGGCAAGTTCAAACTCAACCAGCACAAGAAAAAGGGGGAGAGAGCGGAATAATGGCGAGGACAGCGTTAAATCGTCTGATACTTTACGGGAGAAGCCGCGCCTATCTGTGAACGCAGAGACCCAAACTGAACCCGATAATAGAGGTACGTAGGTATCTTTTAAATGTCTTTTCTCGACTTCGACCAATTTCCTGCAGTAATCATTTTTTAATGATTTTTATCACCAATCTACATTAACGGGAAAATCGCATGTGCTCCATGGAGTTCCACTTAGCCCCATATCCCACGAGGCCCTTTGGATTCGGATCTCATGCAGCAAATTGGAGGCCACACCATTCCCCATAGAGTTCCATGCAATGTAAACCCAATAGAGACTCCATTGAAATAAATCATTAATGCGACTTGTGAGGACTACATGGGACTAAGCGTACTCGAGTCCAGCGGTTTCTTTTGATACATTTTTGGCTTTAAGATAGAGTAAAGGGGATTCCCCCAAATATGTACAAAAAGGGCGGTTAAATATTACCTCAACAGCACTCTATTCAAAAGGATTTGCACTTTAACATTATGATATTGTTGGATTATTTTTTATTTACAAAGTGGTTGTTAAATGAATTCCTTAAACTTAGGCTTTCATTTATTTGCCAAAGCAAATATGCAGTTTTAACAACCGCACACTTTTTATTCAAATGTAAACAATTGGAGTATATTAGAAAATCCCATGAAAAACTTGAAAACCTGTGTTGTAATTTTAAAAACATGAATGACCACCAAAAGACAATTTTTCTATTGACGAGTAAGGGGATCATATTAAAGGAATCTGCTAACATGATAAATTATCTAATGATTGGTAGAGACAGGATTCTTATATCAAAGTAACATTTTATATGTCATTTGAAGAATGTAATCCTATTTTCTTTACTTTATTGCTATATTTACTGTTATTGAAAATTGTATGTTGGATGTACGTTTGGCCCTTAAAGGGCATCAGTACTAATAAAATCCTATTATATTCATGGTAGATACCATATCCTATTTGAACAGGCACAGACGTATTTAAGTAAACATGTTAATTTCAAACAATTGCTTATGAATACCATACAACGTTTATTTTGTGTCAATTTTGAATTGAGAAAAAGTCTTACAGAAAACGGCATTGGAACTTGCATAGGTTCTTCAGGGGACGTGAAAACTTGAAAAAATTGAGCTGTCTTTGGTGTCAAATGAAAAGTAGTTGTTTTCAATAAATGATCACTGTCTTTCCGCAAAAACAAGGAGAGTTAAAAAGGAGGTCGACAAATAAAAGACATATCTATTTATCACCCAAAATGATTAACTATATCACACTCTCCGTCATGTAATAACGCTATATTATAGTTTACATGTCTATAAACATATATCTATTTCAGAACCGTTTGGATGTTGCAGTTCCTTACAGACTCTCAATACTCTGAGCAGTGGTATCGGAGGATCACAACCGGACCTCCTCTCATCTCCATGTAAGAAGCTCAACTGTTCAACAAATTGTTCTTGTTTTTTTCTTTAAATAATTAAAAAAGTATAGCCTTGCATATTTTCATTCTATGTTGGCTAAAAACATAGATTTGTCAGTAATTCACAATTGCACAATCGTATGTTTCATAAATTAAACAATAACTTGAATAAATCATGTATGCTTATGTCTTTATCGTGTTCTTAAATAGGTATCAAAATAGATACTGACATTTTCCCAATTACATAATGTTTTGCAGATGGGAGTAATATCAGTATCCACCACCACCACCACACGTATCACTACAGTACGTATGGGCCTCATTCTAACTTTAGGGCCCAGACTAGCGTAACAGAGAACACGTACCATGTAGATAACACAAGTTTCCATGATGCCTCTCGAACAAGCATTCACAATATTTATGATAGTCAAAATATTCAAATTGGCGATGGCAATGTTATCACACGTGATACAAACGAGGACAAAAAAGCTGATTGGCGGTATTACCCAAATCGTGGTACTAATGGGGGTTACTATAGCGACGACGATGGAGGCGGCTATGTTGTCGATGATATGACAACACCTATTTACACCAGCTCTCCGAAGGCATCACCCAGACATCTCAACAATGATGATGACTACCATAACACGAAAAGGCCCGAAGAATTCAATGGCGTGTATGATGGTGTTGGCTATGGAACGGAACGAGAATTCGAAAACAAGGTGTATGGTTTAAACCCAAGTTTAAGGGAGCAGATGATTACATCTTCCCCACCCCCATTGAAAAAGTATTCAAACCTGGAGCGAGCATCGAGTTTGAACGCAATTTGGAACCCAAATACAGGGAACCAATCATGTGGCATTGGTGCACGACCAAAGGACTCATTCGCTGGTCGCTCTGTCGAAAGACCCGTGCGTCAGGATGAAAGAGCGTTCATTATTCCAAGGCCTCAGCTGAAAAAGAATTGCTCCAACGTGTCTTTAGCAGAAAGTCTGAAAGCATATGCTGAAAGCACGACTCATGACATCACTAAGGTAACTGTTCAGTTTAGTCGATGTGTCATTTTCTGAACGTTTGAATTTGTAAAAACACGATTTTTTATTGTGTTATCACTATCATAAGGGTTTTATGAAGTGTTTTAGCTGGGTTGGACAACCTTGGGGAAAAATTGTTCATAAAATATTTTAAAATAAATATAAATAAATATTATCTTTCTATCAAATACCTGCACAAATCAAGTAATTTATTGAATTTGTCACTATTGGTGATGTCACATATCTATTTTCATCATACAAAACGTTGATAACTATAAATATGCTTAACTTGCATATGCAAGTTTTTGGAAATTTTGCAAATATTACAATTTTCGCAGCGTCTTTACAATAACGTCTGTACTGTGCGAATACTACGTTCTACGTTCAACTTACCACGCTTCAATCTCGTAAATGTTATATGTTCGATCAAGTCATAGTTATAGCAAGTATCATATAGTCATTCTGATACTCATAGCATCTTTCTGTTTCACCTGAAACATGCTCTGATATTATGAGGCATATTCTGTGATCTGAGCACATCAGATGGGAAGAGTTATAACTGTCAATAAGTATGATAGTTATCATGTAATCATTTACCTAATGTCAATACAATACATAATAAGCATTGTATTTAACAGCAGATAGTAGCACAGGCACGTGTACACAAGTTTAATGACCCCAATTAAATGAAATATGAGCTAGGATGAAAGATCTCAAAAATCCTCAATTTTGGGCTCTCCTGGATCGCCAAATCAAGCTCATTATATCATTTCATCTCAGGGCTGAGAAGAAATGAGTTGTCATGGATTATCATGATGTCATATAGTATGTTTAGTCAATATGGTTTGGCTCAAGCCATTATGGTGGATATTATACCATGTCGTTCAATAAGTTCACAAATATGCTCTTATTCCAAAATAATATCTGGTAATTGATTCCCAAAATATCACCATATTTAAATATTATATCAAACATATTATTCATACATCACGCTATTCAATTCAGATTGGATCAACTGAATCCATTAACAGACAGCATGTGCTTCAAAGAAGCGAGACCAGTTTAGATGAAACCTCAAATAAACACTGGGAGGACATCGTACAGCGCCGTCAGGAGCAGTCTCGGAAGAAAGCTGCATTCCTCAGCAATCCTGATGTAGCTCGAGCAGTTGGATGGAATTCCGCTTGGCCATCTGTTGATAGAACGAAAGCTAAAAGCTTGGCAACATTAACAGGGCCAGGAAATCTTTACACGATTGGCGAGTGGGAGACAGCTGTGTAGAGTACCTATTAAGTCTGGGGATGTCCTTCTAGATAGTTTAATACTGCCAGTATGCTGCTAAGATATGTTTCAGCTATATATTGTATTGTATTTTATTTAACACCAATGAAGGTGAGCAATACCTCTTGGGTATCCCGTATTATACAGAGTGCATACGGTCGCAATTAACGCGTAAGTAACTTGATATCATGGGAGGGAGACCCAGGAACCCTCCTTGGAGGAGCCCTGTGTTATTTTTATATGCACTCATACATAGTCATACGAGTACACACCACGGCCTTTTTGTACTAGCTGTGGACCACTCAGTCAAACACCCTGAAGTACTTTACGCAAACAAGCAAATTAAAGTTGTACTCAAACCAGTTTACTAGATTTAGATATATTTATACTATCTTACCGTATGAAGGCCACTCTTTACGATGGTGAACCATCAACAGTTCCAAAAGTTAATTTTGTCATGATATCGGGTATATTGATGGTGATTATATTTCTATTAAGATAATGACACAAAACTGTATCAGAATTATAAGATTCTGTTTTGAAAACTTATGTTACCTTCAAAATGTCTTAGAAAGAGAAGGTTAATTAAATATCCAAAATAAAATTACAGACACGCAATTAGTAGATTTAGGCTTAATTCACACAAACATATAGAAATTGGTCGTCATTTGAAGCCTAAGCCAAGACTGTGGATTAACGTTTATGTGATATGTGTGGTATTTTATTAGAAGATGAACAACACTTTATTATGATTTGTGAGAAAAATACTACTTTGTATTTTGTATTAAGTAGTTAGTTTAGTCTTAGTTCAGTCTTGTATAATATTGTAGTTTGGGGTGACTAATATGTCATTGTAATGACATCAGAGAGTCGAAAAAGATATACATGTACATATATAAAAGTCAGCAAGTGTCTGTTTTCGCGGCAAAACTGATTTCATTTTCAGAGCAGAAATTTTGTCACCTGACATAACGTGTGTGGATGAAAATATTTGCTTCAAAATACGATTTTGTAAATGAAAATGAAACCATGGCTTCCAAACACGAGTGGATTATGTTGAGCCAATTATTGCATGATTGAAGCTATTCTCATCAATTTTGCAAAGGGTATAATATCCCTTGCAATTGAGTGTGGAATCAGGGTTCGTACACACCTGGAAATGTCAGGGAAATTGATTTAGTTTCCCAGGTGCTGGTAATATCAGGGAATTTCAAAATTTGGTCAAAAAGGGCCAAAAATGTCAGGGAATTTTGTATTAGTGTTGAAAAAATAATGTTCCAGCAAGATACATTTTAGGACTATGACAGGATGTCAACGAAATCCAAAATCTTATATTTTGATGTTTCCACAAATTGGAAATATTTTTCATTAGGGAACTCTTTACAGTGTAAAACTGTATTTATATTGAGAAGCTGCCCGTTCTACAGTCCCGTCGTACGTCAGTCTTTTCATCTGTCCATCTCGATAACTCAAATATACTCTGCTCAAAGAGACACTCTCACCATTTCTCATGAAAAAGCGTATTAACAGATTTTTGATTTGGTCTTAAATTAAAGGGAAGAGGAAATAACCCTGAATCTAAAGAAGAACTTTTCTTCATGTAAAAAGGAACCTAGAGTTTTACTTTAACTCGGAGTCAATGATTACTCCTAGAAAATTAATATTATTTACCCTTTCTATTGATTGATTATTTAATTTTACTTCAAAGTTGTCAATTTTGTTGATTCTTTTTATGTCAAAAATCATAAATTTTGTTTTTTCTACATTGAGTGTTAATCTATTAGATATCATCTAATCATGTACCTTCTTCAATTCCTCATTTATATCATTTTCTAAATTATAAATGTTATAATCAGTCAATAAAATATTTTTAAAATTTTATTTCAGGTTTAGCAGCATTACAATTCAATAATACAAATGTTCAATATAAACAAGGTTGTACATTAAATTTTATAACGAATTGCAGGTATTTCTGCTAAGAGCACCTGAATAAATAGAGTATTGACTTGATAGTTTCATTTTATGTAGATTCTTCGGAGTAATTCATAAAAAATTATAAGATCCTCCTAAAAAATTCATGTAGATTCATTTTTTATAATTAATGTTTGATCCCGCCCCACTTGTCCCCTTTCTGCAACTTTACATCTAGTTGAAAATATCGTTGCACATTACTTTTAAACCTACAAAATTTGGTCGTACATTTTTACATAGATAAAGACATATTTTAACGATTTTTCGTTAATGACTACTGGACCCATAGTTCTTAGATCACTTAAAGCGGACAGTCCCTCTGGCAACCATTTTTTTAATATCACTCAGCAATTTGTTTACCAATTTGCAATGAATGAGTAGTGTTTATGATATGCCATATGATCATTAAGATCAATATTCAGTTCATCATTCCACTTTAAAATATAACTTTTATTAAAATCGAGATCCTTATTGAATTCCCAATAGATTGTTCTGGAGATCTTTTTCTTTTCTGTGAATTTCAATAAATGTGTTTTGCTCTTTGGATAGTGGTCAAGAATTTTGTCCTTTTCGAATATTGTTTTTGCCCATTGAACTGAAGAAGACTTAAGAAGTCTAGAAAATTTATATTTGAATTGAAGCGTTCTTTGAATTCATTAATATTCAAAGAAATCGTTTGGAATTAAAAATATGACGTGCACGGACCTGGGGACAATTCTGAAAATACGGGCTAATCTCAGCTTTGAGCATTTGTGTTTTATATATCATTTTGAAGTTTTTTTTATTTGCATTTCAGTGAAATTATTTTTCCTTCAAAATTTAATGGGATCCAACATTTTATCAAAGTCAAATACGCTGTAAGACGTAACACTTTACGCGTACAGAGCTCGTTGAAATTGGGATAACTTTTGAAATAATGATCAAAATCCCCCTAACATTTCACAATTTATTCAATTTAGTCATAATTGCTTAACGGCTCCAGCTCAAATTATCGTATATGAACGCTTTTAAAATTTTCAAAATTGTGTAAGGTTTTGAAGGCGAAAGGGACGAGCAATAAGTTTACTTTCATTTAACCTTCTAACTTAAGTCTGATTTGAAAGAAAAATTAACTTCACAATATTGTCATGGCGAAATTTACAAAACAATAATCAGTTTGTTTATTTTGCAAATAATATTAAAATAAGAGCTGGTTTTCGAAACTTGAAAAAATGTGACGCATCGATTTTTACCACAAATTCCATACATATCAATTTTTACCAACGCCCCAAGTGGATTTCTTGACCGTTTTTCAAAATTCAAAAACATTTTAGAAATACTGTCCTCTTGCTACCCTCTGAATTTTGTCAAGATTAGATAAGGATAGAGTATTTTATTTTTAGGTTGACTAAACTTTACAAAAATGTAACGCTTGTCGTTTTTGACGTTGTAAGGCTGTTTGCGCCCTATGCTGCTCATTGTTTTGTCTCGGTTTTTGACGCCATAATGTTACGCTAATTGTCCCCAGTTTCGTGCGACGTGTAAGAGCATGTCCTTCAAAGTTAGTACGCTATTCACCCCGGAATAGCCTGACTACGGTAAAGTCAGATACCGTTGTCACAAATGGCGGATATAACCGTCGCTTCAATTAGATTTTCATGAACTGTATGTTTAATAGAGCACCTAGACTAAATTCCTTTGGAATAACAATCAATCAAAGTGTCTTAATACTCATTGTACAGTTAATTATGTTCTATCATCGAAATAAAGTCTTTAATTTAACCGATCAAAATGAGATACGGGACAACGGACACTGTAATTACCATATGCCGTTGTCTTTCTAAATTACTCAAAATCAGATTCCGTTGTCATTGACGATATCGAAGACACTATATTGTAGCGATTCCCGACCCAATTTGATAAAAAATGGGATTTCATATGATACATTCTCACAAGAGCTTAATACATGCACAGAATTAGCGAAGATAAAATCCCATGAAATGAGGACCAAGTGATTAATATAAACAGTTGAAGCGACGGTTATGTCCGCCATTTGTGACAACGGTATCTGACTTTACCGTAGTCAGGCTATTCCGGTGTGCTATTGTTTTTATAATGTTTTTGATGGTGGCGTTTACATTCTGGTTTTAAATATACATTACCCAGGTGCAATTCTTCAGTTTTTTGTTAGGTTTTGTAACCAGGTCAGTCAATAGAATATTTGTGTCATCTGCATATTGGACAAATCTTACTTTAACTGATGTTAAATATATTTCATTCGTGAAGATAATGAATAAGAGGGTGCCCAAAACAGAGCCTTGTGGCACTCCATATTCAATATTAGAGGCATATGACTGATATTTCATATCATTTATAGTACTTATAGTATATTTATAGTACTTGAGCCCCGACTCTCGTGTTTCTACTACAAAAATGAATATGGCAATGCCAAGGAAGGAAAATTGAAAATTGAAATTTTGTTTAATAGATTTAGAGCTGGTCTAAAAGTACGTCTATTATGCCCATAACTTTTCGACAGTAAATGGCCCATTTTGTATATGTGGTGCTAAACAGCAAACAACACATCACTTTTTATTAAACTACCCTCTGCTGCAACAAGAAAGATGCACTCTCCTAGCAGGACTAAAAACCTTAGGATTTCTCAACCGTTTCCAAAACTTAAAACTCCAATGAAAAAATTCAATTTTTATTATTTGGAGACAGAAATCTTAGAGTGATGGAGAATGAACAAATTATTCAAATAAATAGTTAGCCATTACATCTGTTTAGCTCTTGATATTTTAGATTACACGCCCCCCCCCCCCCCCCGAAGGCCTCTAACATTTCTCACAATCTAAATTATGGACCTAATCGATTGTATTTCCATTATTTCCAGTTTGATATGTTTTGTATATTGCCGACAATATTGAAAAACGTAGGCAATAATAAATATTATCGTTCTGGAATCAATGAGGTTAACGTTTTTTTTCATTTCTCATTTATTCCATATACAATAAAAAAAAATACAATACAACTTTAACCTCATTGATTCCAAAACGATTTTTTAAAGCTGGACTATATTTTCTAGCTTTGTGCAAATTATAATCACAACTTGACTTGTAAGTAGGTTAAAAAGAGAACACAAAAAACTCCTAATACAGAAAGTTTATCCATATTTTGTTA